AGGTGAGTGTCCCGTCCTAACAATCTTGGCTTCATCCCATTTGACTACTGATCCGTCTGCCTGTGCCATACTTGCTAATATCGTACTATTCAGTTTTTTATTTATACTATATTTGTGCTCCTTTAGTCGTACTTTCAGGTTTCTTCTGGTTACTCCGATATACTCTTTCTCAATACCTAATTGTTGGTTCTCAAAGGGTATACTGTATACACCCGGNCTTTTAACCTTTTAATTTATTTATAATATATACTAGTTATACAAAGATTAAAGCAGATTTTACGTTTTTAAATTATACAAAGTGTAACCAAAAGGTACGTCTATATATCGTTTATGTACTCATTATTTTATGTAAACTCTCTACTGTTATAAGTTAAATATATATATTATATTTTAGTTGACTGAAGAGGGGCAAAGCCCAAAACGAGTACAAAACAATGTACCGTATCAACTAATAAAGGAATTTGATGGAAATTTGCCATGTGTCTTTGGAATAAAACACAATACTAGTGTTTATTACGCCACAAATATAAAACAGGACACGGTTTCAAAAAGAAAATCAAAATATTACTTTGTTTTACTTGCTTGTTTTTTTAAAAACATTGTATTCCAAATGTCACACATAAATGTTATTTCAGTATTAATAATTGTCAAAAAAGAACTGAAGAGGGACAAATAGCCCGAAATGCATATTCACTACATTGCACAAAATAAAGTCTATTTTATTCATCAAGTGTGTTCCTGTGTGATAAGTTCTACATAGCAATTTTGTGCTTTTTTCCAAAGAACACAGAAAGAATGGAATGCAATCAACTATTAAAAGTGTAATAAAAAAATTGGGGTCTACGATTTTATTTGAGATATAATGGGTCAATATGACAATGCCCAAGGTTGCAAGCATGAACACACGTAATTTTCTTATTCTCTTTTAGGTCAGTGGTGATGTCACTGCCATGGTAGTAGCAAGGATCACCACAGATGGCCCCAAATAATAATATTGGCTCGACAAAGCTTCAACTCAATTCTTAGTTCATGTTCAAATAGAAAATAAACAGTGACTAGTTTATAAACTAATTCACTCTGGGAGGAGAGGAAACCACTAATAAACCATTCATCAAACAGAAAAGCTTGCCTATCAGTTTGTAAAAAAATATGATGGATAAAGAATATGAGTACTGAAAGCATGTAATATTTGCAGACAAAAGCAAATTTGATATCTTTGATTCTGAAGGTGTCAAGCTTTGTTATGGAGGGAGCCAAATTGCAAACTGAATAAGGAAACCTTGTGCTAACAGTAAAACATGGAGGAACAAGTATTATGGTCTGGACCTGTATAGCAGCCTCTGGGGTTGGAAGACTTGTGTCTATTGATGAAAATATGAATGGAGAAGAATATTTAAATATTTTAAAACAAAAATTGAAGACTTCTGCAGAAAGCTAGGTATCCCAAACACTTTCATATTTTTATCAGAATGATCCAAAACACAAGTTATAATGTTTGACAGTGACCGCTGTACATTTGCCCAAAAGTGACTGGCACGTCTTCTGACCTAAATGTAATTGAACATTTATGGAATGAATTAGATAAAAGCGTTCAAAAACATAACAGTTTATAGAAATAAACTTTTTTAAAAAGTGCTCTCAAACAAGAATGGTCAAAATTTGAGGTGTTCATCAGAGAAAACTAGTTAAATTAATGTCAAACAGACTGAAAACTGTGTTAGAAAGAAAAAGCAAATCAACAAATATTTACTGCTGTGTATAACTAATTTTTAATGTTCAATAAAAATTATTTGTCTAATGACTTTTGTTAAATTTTGTTTCTCTACTTTTTTTCTAAATTAGAATCCTTAAATGAAATAAATATATAATTTTTCTTGTTCTTACAAACCAAATAATAAATTTTTCTCAATATATCCAGAAATTAAAAGTTGTTATAATTCTTCACTATAATCATCTATCTGATGACTTTTATGAGTCACTGTATATACTGCTCTATATGTAAACCAGTAACATCTCGTACTCATACTGCTCAACACACTGCTATTTCACATCATTCTATAACCAGTAATAATCTTAAATTTCAATCCAAAATTACATCTAATTTTAAACTTAAACTACCCAGGGCTTGTTCAGAAATGCCAACCAGCGAGATTGATCATCATTCAAAAACATTGCAATGATGCTTCAGTTGCAACCAGACTCATCAATCTGGAAACATGGTTACTTAATACTCAAAATGACATTTAATTGATGAAGGTGGATGAGGGTTGTAATTTTAAGTCAAGCACTTTCCAAAAGTATGAAATTATTTATTTTAAAGAAACTAAATAATTATTAAATTCTGCATATATACAAAATGAAAACCTCTAACTTCCAATTTCAGGAATTTTCCCTATTATTAAGCATCCCTTATAAGGTTCACTCAACAATTTTATTCATTCATTATAGTCTATATCAATAAATCTCTTTTCCTAATAACCTTGTCTTTTATTAATGCATATACTGATGATATTAAGATTGCTAATTTTTGCACACAATATTACAATATTTAAATAAATACCTAAAAATCACTTAACTAGTTAATAAACATTTAAAAAAAATCAAAATCATGATTTTTAGCTTTGTTAAATCTTTTTTTCAACATTAGCATTCACAATGACAATCAGTATCTACAAATTCTCTCTTAAGTCCAAGATATAGGAATAACAGCCAACTCCAAACACATTTGGCTCATACATTGATGAATTAATTTAAAATATCCCTATTTTTCATGGTATGATATGATATGAAATTTGATATAAATTTTCCATATTTAATATCATACTGTAAAACATTTATTAAATTAAATATAGCATTAAATACATAGGCCTATCTATTATTCCAACAAACTTTGTAGATAAATACTATTAATTAACATTAAAAAACTTAAAATTATGTTAATTTTAAGTTTTCTAAATATTTATTTCATTATCTTTAACACAACATATGCTTCACAATCCTGAGAAATATTGCTATAAATAACATGTGCACAATGTTTTGGTTTTTTTACTTATCAATGTTAAAAGTTTGTATGTTCACAGATGAAAGATAATATCCAGATCACAATATATATTTAATTTTCAAATTATAAAAAATATCTGTAAATGATTAAATTTTAATGTCAATATTTATTATATAAATTTCTAGTTAAATTATCTTATTTCAATCTTATGAAAATAAATTACAACTGATAAACTGACAGCTGATTCATTAAAAATAATTTTACGGTAGTAAAATTAAATTAAGATAATCATTTACAAATACAGATTTTATTTAAAAACATTAAGTAATAATTTAAGTTTTTATAATTTTTTTGAAGTGAATAAGAGGTACTTATTGGTTAGCAGGGTGCCAGTCAATTGATGCAATCTAACTCTAACCTAAACCTAAACCAAACCTAACCTAAAACCTAAACCTAACAAACCCATATGGGAAATCCTCTCCGAACCAATTATGAACCGAATATATGCGAGTTGGATCGCATAAATTGACTGGCGCTCTGCTAACCGGAAAGTATCAAATGAGATTTTATAAATTTTCCAGTAAAATTTTCATTTGAAATCATTAGTAATGGTAAATATCGAATGATATGAATTAATGTCAACTGGCATAAAGTGAGTTTAAACAACAAATCTAGCTACAATCACTTGCTCTGTAAAAACTGTTACACAATTGAAGAGATACGAATCAAATAGCCTTAAAATATTTTCAATTTTTAAATACTGAATACATGCAGGCATCTAGGGTCTCAATAGACAAGAGAAGTATAATTACACCTCTGAATGAGAAGGTTGGGATCTTATCGGAACTACAGACCATATCCATAGGAACAAAAAAGTCAACAGAACCACACCTTTACATGCGATATTTTGCAAGATACAACCCCCAAAATCAGCCTACTTCCAGGTCGCGTGTGATCTGGAATCATGTCACTCCACTAGGACTAGCATATTTAACTATTTAGCCCAGGCAATTTGAATAGCCCATTTGACTATTCTCAGAGTAATGTTATATAGTTTTAGGGGATGTGGGACTCACCCCATATCACGCTGAGGTGCAAGCAACAGTGAGTACCGAAGTGCACAACTACACACAATGTGCCGGTCAAGAAGAGTGATAGCAAGCCATGACCAACACATTGAATGATACAGAGAATGGAGAATAGGTAGTATACTGTTTCACAGTAAAAACTGACCTTCAGAGGTAAATCTTGCAAAGGGTTGCATGTACAGGTATGGTTCTGTTGACTTTTTTGGTTCTACAAGAGGGTCTATAACTCGAGTGAAAAATCCCTTATTCAGAGTTCACATCTTATCAAGAGAGACACAAGACACTGCCTTTTTGAAGCTCTCGATATATTAAAAATAAAAGTTGTATCATATTTTTTTAAATAATAAAATTTGAGAAAAGTTTATCCTAATATGCAAGAAATATAACAGTAATAATTTGTAATTAGGCCCAGGCCGGGTAGACTCAAAGGCTTTCCCGCAATATCTACCGACGTCAAACGATACATCATAACATTTAGTCACTCAAAATAATCCCATCAAGCGAGAAATGATATCATTGCACGTCATTTGAAATTTCCCAAAAATCATTTTCGGAGCATTTATGGATATTATTTGAAAATGGTATTTTTGTTAGAAAAGTTTAAAAATTTTTAAATGCAATCATTTGCATCTATGTAAATGTAATTATATAAAAAATCTTGAAGGCCATTAATAATTGCATCTGTGAAGATGTCAATTATTAATTAATACCCTTCAGGATTTTAAACACAACATTAATACTTCGAATTGCTATAACAAACAACTTTTGAATGTTTCTAAAACAGAAAATCCATTTGTAGATATATATATTAAGGAAAAATTAATTAAAAAACTTAAATTTTGCCTGAGGCAACTCAATTCATTATTATTAAAAAGATTTATCAGATAAAATAATATAAATATTTAACTCACCATCATCATAATTCATCGTTCGAACAGAACGGTGACGAGACATATTGATAAATAATGTTCGTACAATGTTAATTCTATAACTTTATCACGTCCACATTGGTTTCACGACGAAATAAAAAAATAAAAACACTTAAATAGCGCCACCTGGAATAATATATATATAGCGAGAAATAATTTCGTTTAATAATACAAAAGTTGTTTTGTAACGAAATTTATTTTATTTTTATAATAAATATATTTTTTAATTTTTATATTACTAAATAAAATTAATATTTAGATCTTTATACTTTATATCGTGCAGCTTTAATGTGCAGCACATTAAAGCTACATTCTACCTTTCAAACCTAAATTAAGTTTACGCTTTACTAGTCATAGTACGCTGTGAATCGTTTTTCAGTTTTAACAACCAGATATACAGACAAAAATAAAAAGAAACCAACACATACCCACTCTACATTCATCTAATACGAATGACCCTTATCGATACAAACCGGCAGCATTACGGGCTCTCGTTAAAAGATCATATTTGTATTGTAGTAGTGTACTGTACTGTACACGAAGTCTGTCATGTATTCAGAAAATGGCTAAAACCCTGGGATAATAAAACTAACACGATAACAGGAGTGATTAGACTATCGAGAATCACGGAGTTTACTTTTAACAAGAGCGTGAAGAACATTAAGAAAGAAATGGCAGACCACAAAGGCTCTAAACTACTTTTCAAAGGAGCACCAACTACAGTAGACTCCCCTATAACAATGTTGATAATTTCATTTTATATGAATTCCATGTTGTACGAGTCACTTAGATTTTACTAATATAATTCCATGTTGTACGAGTCACTTAGATTTTACAAATACGTTCACAGCCCGGCCACGAGTCACTTAGATTTTACAAATACAAGTCACTTAGATTTTACAAATACGTTCACAGCCCGTGGCCTGGCTGTGAACGTATTTGTAAAATCTAAGTGACTCGTACAACATGGAATTCATATAAAATGAAATTATCAACAGTGTTATAGGGGGTCTACTGTATTTACACTATATTAAGAAATGACAAAGATAAGTTAAAGAAAGAGTAGAAAGCGGGTGTGTACAAGATACCGTATGAAAACAAACAATTAGGAATAAAGAATTATATTTCATTCACCAAAAGAAATTTGAGAGTTAGACTTAAAGAACATCAGTATATTGTAAAAAAAAAAGGCCTTTGCAGTACATTACTATCCCAGATGTCACAAGCTGAAGGCTCTACGGTAAAATGTGATGGGGCAGAGATAGTTAAGACTTTACATTCCTCGACATTGGTGCTGAACACTGAAAAAATTGAAAAATATGAGTAGGTTAGAGGATAAATGTATTAATGCAAGAGATGCATGCGGACAGATTACCATCAACGTGGAAGTTCATTGTAAAGAAAGAATCTTCTTTATAGAAACACTTAGTTACAAAAATATATTTCGGTAAATGTGGTACAGTATTTAAAAATTTACAATTCTAGTTTTAGTTTTTACTTCACTCTTTTATTTATTTATTTATTTATTTTTATTATTATTTTGATTAGAATTTTAATTTTCGTATTACTTTTATGAGTTATTGGATGTTACATTTATACTAAAATATTTAAAACTTTAATGTTCTATATTTATTGTATTCTATTCTGGAACAGTTCCAAAATAGTAATGGCGTTCCAAAAGTATGGCGTCTGAGGATGGCCTATGCATTAGGCTGAAAACGTTAGTTTTTTTCAGCAGTGGCGAACTTTTTTGAGCCCGCGTGCCATATAGTAAGCATACTTAGCTTTAAAGATGTTTATGCGTGCCAAAGATTTAGACTTCAAATAACGATATTTAAATAAATTAAACGAACATGCTTTAATTAGAATAAATGTAAAAAAATCTGACTGAAAAAAATGATAAATCGAAATCGTATAAGTTACGTACCACTTTGGGCACGCGTGCCATAGGTTCGCTACCCATGGTATATAGCAAATGTCTCAGCATTCGTCGGAATGTTCTCACGATTAAAGCAGAAAGTCGGCATTCCGTTCAGCAGTGGAAGCATGCTTTTGCAAATGAAGAATATTGTTTAAAACGCTGGGGCATACTTAACATTATAACCGTGATTTTCATAGCTCTAGCGTCACCTATCAATGACTTTTTTTTTACGAAAAACTTATTTAAATGGCGAGCGCATCACCTGAAGTACAACACGTGATGTCAAAATGTTTTTTCGAGCAGTACAACACGCTCAAGAGCAGTTGAGAGTTTTTTAACGAACATTAGTGACATTGTCTCAGTGCCGGGCTGCAATTTTTAATCATATTTTTATTTGATTTAAAAAACAGTATATGCTCTCCACCTCAAATTAGTCTTGCCCCTGTACATCATACTTTCCTGTTAGCAATAGAGTCGTACCGGTCATCTATCTGCTTCCAGGGGAAATTTTTTAATTGAAATTGACTTCCCGTCTATACCAAAAATTCACATAGTTGATTTGGACCTCCTGCCCCTAAGCTTTCCACATCTATCTAACACCGTTCTCGAGATTAAAGGACAGACAGGCAGCGACAGGGGGAATTTATAGGTCTACAATTTTTCAAATTGCAACCCAACGACCCCGTATATTTTTGTATTAAGATGCTATTAATATCGAGAACAAATACAGAGAAATGAATTAATTTATTTTAGTGAAATCCAAAATGAACATAATTCATTAACACAGATTCTGCATATTTTACTGAAGGATGAACATGACCTTTTTAGATATTATACAATGCATATTTTTAATTTCATATATACATAATTCATTCATTTCGTATCATCAGCAGTTTTTTTTTAAATCAGTGGAAGATGAAGTCAATTTGTTTCATATTTAGTACAAATTAATATACATAAATTTTCGAAGATGCTAACAAAATATATGACTTACATTACTTGATAATTATTAGAAACCCATTTTTCTCAATTCATTCTTTGTACCATGATAAAGATATAGCAATTAGGACGAAGACTGATCTCTATTTGGAAGTAGATTCAATTTTTTGTAAGCACCGGAACGTGTAACCAATGTCCCGAAAAATTTTGCTGGATTATCGATATCATCCACTTGTCGTGAAGAAAATCGAGTTGACATTTGACGAACGTTTCCTCCTGCTACAGGAGATATAGGTATACTGATCGGTATCAAAAGTTTCTCACCACCCTCAATATCAGATTTTTTATTAGATGCACCATCCACAGCTTTAACAGAAACGGAATTCACTCCTTTATCTGTTGAATTAATTGACTGATTATTATGTTTTCCTTGCTTTTTTCTCGGTTCTTTCGTGGCGCTTTTTTCACTGTTTTCCGCATTTTTCACCTGTTTACTGTTTATTTTCTCTCTTCTACCGTTCTTATCCAGGCATATGATTAACTTTTCCAGGCCTGACGTAGTACATGTTATATTGTGTGATTTCTGTATATGAGTACGGCATTCTGACTTCTGGTAGGATCGATAAGAGCAATATTTACATTTATAACGAGTCCAACCGACGTGAATGGCAGCGTGACGTTTTAAATTCGAAAGCGAACAAAACTTTTTATGACACTTTAGACACGAAAGTCTCTTACTGTTAATTATCGATTCCAATTTCTTACCGTTTGCTGAACATTTCCTTGGATTCGAATTAGTATTTACTTTATTCGCTGATCGCCAGTTCAACGTTTGGCTATTTATAAAATCTTTGTTAACCTTCTTCTCGATAAATCGTTTCGGTCTCGTAACTATACTTGATTCATTCGAACTATGCGAATTGATAAAAGTCTTAACAAGTGGCTTATTTTTATTCTTAGCACAGAACTTTTCGTGATTGACCACAGAAGATCTATGATTAAAAATTCTACTGCAGTTCGAACATTTATGTAGAACCTGATTTACTTCACGACTTTGTTCATTGCCCTTATACATATCTTCGGACTGGCCATCTTCGTTCATTTCCAAAACGTCCTCATCGAAACACTTAAGAAAGGCACGTTTTTTAATAACAACTCGTAATTTGCTAATTTGGTCTTTATTTTTCTTATGGACTTTGATCAAATGTCTAGTCACACCCCATAATTGTACAAAACTAGTATTACAAAAAGGACACGGATAATACCATCTTCTTTGGGAATGTAAATTTACCATATGAAGGTATAGAGTTTTAAGCGATGTGTATCGAGTATTGCATACTAGACAACTTAAAGATTCGATATCACAGTCACTTCTTCCAGATAATAATTTATGTCTACTGTAATTAATGCCATACTTTTTATCTTCGTACGATGCGGATTTTGATGAATTTGTAACATTTTTTGGTATAATGACGACTAATTTTTTTCCAGGTTCTTCCTCTTTTCCTGGATTATTCTCTTGTTGGATCTTACCATTTTTATCATGAAGCTGTTGAAACACAGCATTAGTATTACCCTCGATTGGTTTTAAATATAATATTTTTTCGTCTTTTTTCTTTTCGGGATCTTCTTCCAATGACGCTGAAGAATTCCTCTCTTCCCATTTTTGAAGTTTTGTCTCTCTTGATTCTTTTTCTGCGGGAACAAAGATCTTTGGCGAAGAGGTTCCAATGGTAGTAAGTGCATCATCTTCGTCTTTGACACTTACTTCTTCTTTATTGCAATCAATTTCTTGACTTTCGATTTCTTCATTACTACTATTATCGGATGGTTTTTCGGGAAGGACAATGACAGTCGATTCGTCTATTTCAATATTACTAAAGAGTGTCATAGATTCACAACAGTGTTTTTGACAATAAACTCTCTTGTGAGAAATTAAATTTGCTAAACTTCTGAACAGATTATGGCAAATCTTGCATTCGTAAATTAAATTACATTCATTCAATATAATATCTTTTATCTCTTTAGTTCCGATTTGTAGACACTTCAAAACTTCACGTACATTTTTTACTCCAATGTTAATTGGTCTTTGTAAAATCGATTCGTCATATTCTCGGTTATCATTTTTCTGTAGTGAATCATTGGCTTTTTCCATGAATACTGAAACAAAAGAAAGAATGAATTAAAACTATGAAATCATTAAAAAACGTTATTTACAATTTATAACATATAAATTTGATTAAAATTTTCTTGATTTATAGAATGAAACAACAACATTAATAATTTAACATTTAGAATCTGAAAAAATTACTGCCATGTTATACTTTCGCAAAAGATTCATCGTTGTAATTCTGTCGTCTTAAAAAGTCAATTCTCTATCATTATCAATATTTGTGAAGAAATGTGCAGTAAAATTCGTTAATCCGACACCTAATAATCCAAACGTTCGATAATTCGGCACTCTCTGAAAAGTAGTTGTTAATTCGCAACTGTTCGATAATAACCCCGCATATTAATGTTCCACATATGTACTTTTTTCGAATCGTATGTATATTCGTATGTACTGTACAGTGTAATCATACGTACTATCGAATTTTGCAAAAATACAGAAATGCCCGACAATCCACTCTGGTACTGTAGGTGCCAGATTAACGAGTTTCTGTTGCATATTAATTCTAGAGTTCCGAAGGCAAACTGAGCAAATTATGTTTGAATCTGAATGCCAAGAACAAAAAAGTTTTCAAAACGTTAGTAATGAACTTGAAGCAATCAGCCAAAAGAGGAAACAAATTTAACCAAAAAAGTTTAAAACTCAATCTTAAGTCAAACTATTAGAAGCAGATGTGAAGTGTTAAGTGAAGTGAAAGTTTTCAATGTAGCTTGTCAGTTGATAATTATGAAGAAGTATAAGAAACGAGGGCCTTCGTATACTGCATACTTTTAGTATTTACAAATTTCCTTTGCATATTTTAATCTAAATTATGACGAGGTAAAAGCTTTCAATGTTTGACAACACAACACTTGGGCGATCTGCCTGGGGGATGTCTGCTGGGAGGTCTTTTTAAAGGAAACTGGCCTATTTAGGCGTTACAGACGTGGAGAAAACCCGGAAAACTCCACGTAGCCAGCCCGTCCGAGCGAGGCGCGAACCCACGACCGAACTCCCAGTGTTCAGGGTACGAAGACCGCTTGGCCACTGGTGGGCCAAAAGCTTTTAAACTCTACACGATTTTATATATAAATATATGAATTCTGTAAACAATTACTTAGACATAGAATTCACATACACAAAAATAGCACCAAGCCCAGATCAAGTCCCATGGAAGAAACTATATATAGTAGTATATTGTTAAAAATGAAACATGGTGATATCAGACAAAAATTTCTCGTTTTATAGTATTTTATTATTATTGACACTTCTATAGAATCGGGGATAAACAGCGTTGCATTGTCGCAATTATTTTCCAGACAACGAAAGTACAATCTTTAAAAAAAAAAAAATAAAACAGATTGCAACCGGATCATATTCGAATTTGATAACAAGTCGAAGTTATAGCGTTAATTACGATGCAGAATTTAGTTACTGTTACACCAAAAATTTTCGATTTATTCAGGTTATGTTACGTAATTGGTTCCCAAAAATTCTTCCGTTCCTCATTACATAATTTTAAAGTATTTTACTTAAATTTCGGAAAGAAACGATTTATTATTTTCCATTTACGCAGTTTTTTCTGTATGGGATTCGTTCTAGATGCGGCTTACAAAACTATGCAGGTTTATAATAAATTATTAATATTTAAAACAATCATAAATATCTAATATAGATTTAAACAAATTATTAAGCGATCTATTGCAATAATTTCATTAATAACTAGGAGTAAGTGAATATTAATACAGTAACTGAAAAATTTCAGAAAAGAGCTGAAAGTATGTATACCAGCTGTATTTGATATCTCAGGTCATTTTCCAGATATTAACAATTTTTAAAAAGTTCTAGTTTTTGTGTATAAAATACATATTTTCCCGAAGCAGTTTGGTTATATTATTACAACATACTATATATGAATTTTATACATTTTACAAATATAAGAATTTAACGAATTTCTTGCAACTTATTGGAGAATACGATAATTAATATTCGAATAATTTAAAATCGTTTGAAAAATTGAATATCGAATAATAGTGCCGATTCTATAGAATACGATTACCGAGAGGTAAGATTTGATATTTNAAATAGCAAAGAAAAACCTTTTGATAATTGAAAAGTAAAATAGTTTTGGATACTATAAATTCTAATGTACTTGCAGTCATTAAACAAGAGTACTTAACACATTGCACACATACTCAAAGCAAATAGGAAAAATCTGCATGGTATGTTACATTAAATAATAAACAAATTTATAATATGTAATGAAAATATATATTTTATCCTGTAATCCTTCAATGAAATATTCAAAAAATAATATAGTATAAAAAAAGATATACTAGAGATATAAAATCATTGTAATATACAACTTGCAGAACTGGTAGAGGAGATAAATATATACAAATGATTATGTTTGTGTATACACATCACGTGGTAGCCAGTTTCAGACTGTAAACACCAGCATCCAGCTCAAGCCATAAATGCTATCAGCAATGGTTTGCGGCAGCCAAACTTTTGAAAAAGTGTAGAAAATGCATCAGAGACAACAGCAAGCTGAATATTACCAGGTTAATGGCTGGGAAACAAGACCATATCCTGAAGCTGTGTGACCTCGGTTTGTCGATGCATGCAGTTGCCATACGTGTTGGACAAGATGTGAGTACCATCCTGCGAATTGTGACATAATGGATGCAGGAACATCTGTGAACACGCTGAAGAGGGAGTGGATTTCACTGGTGTATAACAGAACACCGAGACCAACAGATTCACCAAACATCCCATCAGGACCTGTTTGCCATTGCAAGTAGCATCTGAAGTTGCATGTCACCATCAATGAGTGCATGTGTCCACCCAAACCATTCACAACAGGTTGCATGAAGTTGGGCTGCATGCAGGGCAGCCAGTAATTGGGTGCCATTAACTTGACACAGGGCTGCATGCTTGGTGTTGTGTCATCAACATTGCAACTGGACCACTGAACAGCATCAGGTATTATTTATTGACGAATCCCGCTTCTGTCTGTGGAGGAATGACAGTCATGGATGGATGTGGTAGTATCCTGGGGAACACTACATGCCAGCCCTTTTCCACTGAGCATCACACAAGGTATCATGTTCAATCAGCAGACAGCTCTGGTGCATATTTCTAATACTCTGACAGCAGACAAATTGTGGGGCCTTGCTGGGCACTATGTCAGGCCGCACCTGACATGGTATTTCAGCAAGACAATGCCTGACTGCATGCTGCATGGCAAACTTTCATCAGCCTGAACAGAATTCACATCCTTTCTTAGCCAGTAACCTCACCAGATCTTTCTCCCATTAAACACCTGTGAGACCTCGTCCAATGTGAGATCACTGGGGACTGCTGCTACATATCATAGATGACATGCACACAATAGTGGACAGCATGGGAAGGGATACTTCTGACAACTATTAATTGCCTCTTTGATAGTATGCCTGTGCAGGCAATATTCATTACTGAATAAACAAGTGTCTGCTGCATATCTTTGTTCTTTTAATCATTTGCATATCTCTGTCACCTCTCACCTCTACCAGTCCATAAATTCATAAATTTTCTGCTTACTATTTTAAAACATGGAGTTTTTTGCAAATTTCCATGTTTTGAGACCTCCTGAATCCAAAACAGTCAAAAAAATGGCAAAAAGAATTCTGTGGATGTGTGTGTGTGTGTTGGAGTCTATTTCACTTAATATTTTAGGATGGGGTAAAGAATAAAAAATGAAATTTGACATGGTAGATTGTATATGAGGGGCATTGATGCTATTAAATTTTGGTGGTTAAAGGTTGAGGGGTGAGGAGATAGAGGGGTGTCATATCTCAAGAGAGGTAAAACTTAATGAAGATTTTACTTGTTATTAATAGTTTTTTTTTATAACACTTATCCCTACTCTCAAAATTAAGCTTTTTGCTATTGTATAGTAAATAAAAATATAAAAGTTTTTAAAACAAAATCTCATAACAAATGGCACCACACACAATTTTGTTTACTTTGCTTAATAATACAGAAGTTCTTTTTTCAAATAAAAAGTCATAATAGCTGGATAAGTTATGCAACTCATTATTAGACTTTTTAATATGATGTTAACAATTATACTATATGCATATTATGAATTTATATCATTTAATGTATACTGTAATTGCATTATTATTTTCAATATTACCTGATCAAATCCAAATATCATGGCACAAGTTTACAATACATGGTCCTTTTATTATTACTATCAGAAAATTATTAAATACAGCAGAATTTGCTTATTATAATTGCTCTGGGATATCTATATTGTAACAGTGACCGAACAGAGCTGTTGCTAAAGGGACAACAAAAAAGCTAATCCCCTTTGTTGGCAGTGCCTATATGCAGTATATACAGGATTCCTACTCAAATTTTTGTTTTAATTTCCATGACTTTCCCTAACCAACTTTGTACAAATTCCAACCCTCACGTCCCTTACAGCAGGGATGGGCAACCTGCAGCCCACAGTAATATTTTTTGCAGCCCACATAAAATATGAATAAATACAGTATATCAATTTCCCAGCTTAAGTAAGTATGCAGCAAAAATTCAAATGTTATTTTCTACAACTTATGTTTGTGAATAGTTTTTCTACAAACAATTTAGTAAAAATTAAAACAAAAAAACTGGCTAACAGACACATCGAAACTAATTTAAAGCTAGCAGTTAATAATATTTAACCAAATATTTTCGATATACAGTGGGTGGTCGGTTAATGAACATAATCTGTTCCAAGACTTTGTTCGCTATCCAAATTGTTTGTTAACTGATTATTGATTTACCAAAGGTTTTTATGAGAATTTGATTAATTCATTCTGGAAACTCCAAAAAATAAAAAATATATACTTTCTTACTATGTTTATTTATATGTAATAATAAAAATACATATATACATACAGTCTTACAATTTTATTAGTCATGTTTTTCTGTTTGTGAGGCGTTAAAGAATCTATCCAACGTCGATTTCTTTTCTCATTTCTTCAGGATTTTTCGGAAGTAATTAATAGTATTGTAATTGTAGAGATCCCCAACCCCATTAACCTTATTCTGGTTTGGATACCACTTGGATGATCGTTGTTCTGACATCTTCCCACTTCTTCAAAAGATCTTTAGTAGCATATGTTGACATTGGTCCTCTTTTGTCTTCCTCTTTTTCAAAAGAAAACACATCTTGCTGAGTTTCTTTGTGTTGTTCATTTGAGAGTTCTTGGAGTTCTTCTGTTGTCAGATCAGTTTCAGGTTCTATTAGGAGCTCTAAAATGCTCTTTATTTCTCAAATGTGATTTTCATTACTCCATTAGCAGCTTGAGACTTCTTGATATATCTTTCATAGCTAAGATTGTGCCTACTGTAGACCTGTTCAAGCCATACTGCCTAGCAACATCAGACATCTTNTATTTCTCAGATGTGATTTTCATTACTCCATTAGCAGCTTGAGACTTCTTGATATATCTTTCATAGCTAAGATTGTGCCTACTGTAGACCTGTTCAAGCCATACTGCCTAGCAACATCAGACATCTTGTGCCCACTTTCTACCTTGGCTATTATCTCTTACTTGGTTTCTACGACGAGTACAGTTCTTGACATTCCTCTTTTTAGGCTCCATAATATTATCAGTTTCTTTTTTAAATAAAAAGTTCAGAAAAGCATTTACAAAAATTCAGAGAACAGAAATCAACTAGCCCACAAAAAATTATTTAAATGCTAGGCCTGAATGAAATTCAAAAATTGGTATTAAAACGTTAAGGAATATCTGAATGGACAGTTAAACGTTCACCTTTCATAAATAAACCCAGACACAAAACTTAACAAGTGCCCGTCCAACAGTCTGGCGAACACTATAAAAATTATTTGTCAGAAAGGTAAACAAAACGCTTAAATTACAAGGGAGAGTTTCAAAATTCAGAGGAATACTATCTGATTGGTATCAGGTTGAGTGTCGATGTTGATGTCTCCTGTGCTTCGAAAGGTTTCAAATTGTTACCTGAAGACAAGGAAAAATCGATTGATATTCATTATCCGAACATGTGTTCATTGTCCGATCATAAAAATCTTTCGTGAATGTGTTCGTTATCTGATTTGTTTGCTATCCGAACTGTTTGTTAACTGATCACCCATTGTACTTTCTTACTATGTTTATTTATATGTAATAATAAAAATACATACATACACAGTCTTGCATTTTTATTAGTCATGTTTTTTCTGTTTATGGGGGTTAAAGAATCTGTCTAATGTCAATTGCTTTTCTCTCTTCTTCAGAATTTTTCAGAAATAATTAATAGTATTGTAATTGTAGAGATTCCCAAGCCTATTAACCTCAACCTGGTTTGGATGCCAATCTAAGAACGTTGTTCTGACATCCTCCCACTTTTTCAAAAGATCTTGGATAGCAGATATCGGCATTAATCCTCTTTTTCAGAAGAAAACATATCTCACTGAGTTTCTTGGTATTGTTCAATTAAGAGTTCTTGGTGCTCTGTCGTCAGATCAATTTCGGGTTTCATTATGATCTCTTCAATGCTCTTTATTTCTCAGATGTAATTTTTGTTACTCCTTTAGCTGCTTGAGTCTTCTTGATTATACAGTATCTTTCTTAGATAAGATTGAACTGTGGCTTACTGTAGACCTGTTCAAGCCATACTGCCCAGAAACATCAGATATTTTCTGCCCACTCTCTACCTTTGCTATTATACTCTCACCTTTCGAAAATAAAAACCCACGCAAAACTTAACGAGTGCCCACCCAACAGTCTCGTGAATGCAATAAAAGAATTGTTTCTGTCAGAAAAATAAAAGGCTGGAATTACATGGGAGAGTTTCAAAGTTCGGAAGAATACTATCCAATCAGTATATACCAGGATGAGCATCGATGTCAAAGTCTCCCCGCTCTGAAAGTTTTGAATTGTTGCCTGAAAACAAGGGAAGACCAGTTATTTTACGTCGCTTCTCCTTGTGTTTATTCTGTGAGGTGTTCGTTGTCCAAACAAAAATCTTTCACTAAAGTGTTCATTAACTGAACTGTTTGTTAACCGATCACCCACTGTATTATGTTTACATCAGTTCCAGAAGCTAAATTAAGTATACCTATGCTAATTTATAATTATATATGAATAAATAATTGTGATTTACTGACATTTTTTCCCCTCTTTTCTCTTGTATGCAGCCCAGTGTCAGTTCAAAAGTTTTGAAATGCAGCCCTTACATAGAAAAAGGTTGCCTATCCCTGCCTTACAGTATGGCACATTGACAAAATAAAACAGCATTTGACTTACTATGCAGATGTGTTTTACTTCTCTCCAACATTTTAATTAGTTATTTTTTCTAATTAACANTATTAGTGCCGATTCTATAGAATACGATTACCGAGAGGTAAGATTTGATATTTTAATAAAAATTTATATTTTAAAACGTGAATATTTAAATAACAAGAGTTATAGATACATAAACAGGAATTATTATAGAAAATCATCTTAAAATTTCAAAACACTTATTCTTATAAGAAAACAAAGTTAGAAAAACATTTTGATAGAGAAAACAATTTATTTAAATAAAAAAAAAAAAAGAGAGAGAGAGACTAATTTGGCCCCATTTATCATTAGACCTTCTAAAAATACGAAAATAATTACTGAATAAATAATAAAAGCAACAATACTTTACTAATTTCAAAAAACAGGAATTTAATTTTTATGTAATAAAATAAGCAAATTATTATATAACTCGAATTTCAGAAGTGTTTTTCTATAAATTAAAAATTCTATTAGTAATATTATAATAAGAACTCTTGAAGAATTTAATTAAAATAATGTATATTCAATACTTAATTAACTTGACAAATTATAATTAAGTTATAAGTGAGAACATAAAAGAGTGTAATTAGAATCCAAAATAGAATTATAAAAACTGCTAACAGATTAAAAATTTAGTTGAAAACTGATAGGAAGACAGATACATTTAAGTTCAATGAGCAATTATTTATTGTGACATTGTCACAAGCCAGGTTACAATTTTTAATCGTCTTAATTTAAAAAATACGTGACATCCGGCCCGGTCAAGACTGTGAGTTAATATACAGTTAGTCGGGGCCTAGAGCCCCTAAGTCTTCCATATCCGGTCTGAATTTCCATCTATCTAAATACGTTCTCGAGATTAACAAAGGACAGATAGACGGTGAGAATGTATAGGTTGACAACTTATAATTTGAAAACTATAGTCAAATTAACTTCAAGATATTAACTGTTTTCAATTGAAAGATAAGATGCTTCCCATAATTAAAAAAAGGCAGTCATTTTTAAGTAAAAAAAATATTAAAATCATATTCGACCAATAAAATGAGTTTACATTTTTATCTCAAAGGCTTTATAAAAAATTATGAGAAAAGTGATATTCAATAAGTTCCTGTAATAAAAAATTATTTATGAACATCCAATAGTTTTTTTTTTTGTGTCCCAAAAATATAAAGGCAGTGAGGTAAGTTCGTTCAAAATAAAGACCAGTAATTATAATTTCTATCCAAATAAACAAATTACTCATTGGAGGCGCATATTTGCCTAGCCCTAGTGAACAATTAATTCGTTAATTTTTGTTGTGATGAAATCCGTCGTATACCCAGAGAAAAAGGGGCAAATAATCATTTTGAAAACTGGAAGAAAGTCAAATAGAGATAATACCAAGCATTTGGGAAGATCTACAAATATTGTTGACAATTTTGTGTTAAAAGATAATAACTACAGTATAATGATTATTAAAAAAAAAAATGACATCCTGTATATTACAACCATTTTTAGAAAGTTTGTAATAAAAATATATAAATCATTTTCATTACTTAAACAATTATGAATAATATTTTACACTTTTAAGTGACTGCCTTTACAATAATGGGACACATCTTAAATCTTTTATTCTTAATTCATCTGTTTCTTTTAACGTAATTCTACATGTTACCATTACTTTTTAAGATTTTATTATACCTTAATAGATAAAGTATGAAATCAAAGATGTCGAAGACACAGAAAAATACACATGCTTTAATAGACTATGAAGAAGCTCAACCATGTTACAGATGGTGCAATCCCTTTTCCTGGTATCCATTTTATCCTTTATCCAGTACCATGCTTTTCTACTCTTTCCAGCTCAACTGCATGTGTCAGACTATAGTCCACTCATCTAATACCAATCGCTCCATAGAACCTACAATCGTGACTTCAATGCAATATTTTCAGTCAGTAAACAGCAGAGCGATATCTCACATTTATTCTTTCGCCGGTTATTCAATAAATTCCGGTTTAAACCAATATCCATGTATCTACCCGCGATATCCGTACTGCGGTTATGTAGTTACGGTCAATGGTACCATTAGTGTCCAACTTCAACATTATATTCGAGTGGATATCACCGTGGACAAAGCGATTCGCCTAGTAAATTTTCCGGGAAAATGCGTGGCTGCTATGAACTATTTTGATAGCTGCATCATTCATCCAATTAGTAAAATCTTACAAGAACAAACAACAGTCAATATGGAAATCGGTAATCGCTTAGCAAAGTTTTCGAATCGTGGAATTACGTTTACATCGCTAGGACACAGTCTTGTATATTTAGTAGATACTTCGGGTACAAAATCCACATTCGAATATTTTCGGAATTTGAACTATGATTTTTCTCTCGATGTATTTTACACAAAATCCATTCATGGTGAAGCTGTTATGAATGATTGCTTTCTCAAAATCGCAAATTCCGTTCATCGATGTAATAGAAATGGCGATCAGATGTGGATCATTGCTGGAATTTGTATACAACAGAATTTGCTGGGAGATGTTTGCATAACGCATGATTTTGGAAGAAGAATCATGCGTACTTCACCTACGTTCGGTACCATATCAGTGTCAACACCTTATATTTACATGGCGGCCGGATGTGATCCCGAGAAATACGTCTTCGTGCAGAGAGGACAGCAGAGATTAAGTTCTAACTTACGATCTTTTACAGTGAGAAATGGAACACAGAAAGCTGGATTTGATAGCAGAGGAAGATTGGTTCTCAGTTGATTGAGATTATTTACTCTCGACTTACGAATTTATATAACATGTTCTATTATTTAAAAATAGTTAAGAATAAATTTGTAACGATTAAAAAATTAAAGAGAAATACAACTAAAATGCATTCTTTTAATTATTTTATAAATTAACTAGAAGATAAATCCGACATTACCCGGGCAAAAAATATCATCATACATTAACACGAAAACCATATAAAGAGTTTAGTGATTTAAATTAAAGAGATCATTGTCATATTTATCGCGATACTTGATCAATGAAATGGTACAATTTCATTGATCAAGTAGACAGGAACTGAAAATATTATATCTAATGTTAATTCTACCATTCGCAGCCGAATATCAAATGGTAATTTGATAACGAATCAAATTTTGCGAAAAATGGATCAAATATTTAAACTTCGGCACCCTCCGAAACCCCTATTTTGCGCTAGCTAATAACTGTATTATGTAATTTTCAGCAACTTAACATGCGGGCGATCTGCCGAGGGAAATTTGTCCCTATTTAGGTGTTACTAATTTGAAAACCCGAAAAACTCCGTGGCTAGCTCGTTGGCGATGCGTGAACCCACAATCAACTACCAGTATAAATTTCGACTCCATGCAGATGAGTGTTATGTACTACTCATAATGTAGGTCTACTTCGCACTATATCATATAGTCGCAGTAATTAAGTGAATGTTTGTTTGTTTTTTAATTATCCTTTTTTGTACAAATTATATTTAGGTTTATTAAAAAAAAAATTTTTTTGCCAATAGATGACACGTAAATTCAGTGAATCGAATTGATATATAGAAATCCAATAAATATTTTAGAGCGGTATATACGACGTTATCTAAGTTAGATGTATGCTAACGGAACTGCCTAATTTCGTAACAATTGGTAGAACGGCCAGTGCATAACGAACAAACATTCTCATTTATAGATATAGATACTGTTTTGCTGTTTTTAATCGATATTTGACTATTTCTTTCGAAATTATCAGTCAAAATAATTTTGAGTTTTTCTGGAAAACAAAATATTCTATAATTTTAACATTTCAATCTCCATATTTACTTTTACTATGTAACTAAACACAAAACTCCACGGAAAAGCGTATTGCGTGTTTAACAGACAGCCTAGCATGGTGGTTAGACATTCTAACGACATTTATCGGTAAAGAATAAAGAAAAGTTCGACATGCTGTCCTTCGAGAGATATTCAATGGCGGCAGTTTCGGTCGCCATTTTGCATGCAGACGTCATTCTGCGGTGTGTTCTTTTATTCCTCTGCGTAACTCGGCGCGAGTGGCATCAGTTTAAATATTCCTGCGGAACTCGTTCCTATATTCCGGCCAGAGTGCACACCGTTGGACGGCAAAAACGGCCGCTTGTAGTAGTTTACGGTGGAAAGCAACAAGGCGTCCCCCACGGCTCAGATAGCTTCGTTTCAGTGTCCGTTGTGATTTTATAAATGAAAATTTTGAAGTTGTGAAAGCGCACGTTAGTGCATGTAGTGACATGTCATCTTGAAGTTTTTCGAATGGTGGTCTGCATTCTAATTTTTTTCGTGGCTACTTCGAATGCTGTCGGCAAGGAAATCCATTTTACGGTTAAATTTTATAATTGGAACACTTCTTTTAACTTTTGTCTCTAAAAACGCATATTTTGAAATCACAGATTCCTCTATCACGATACTATGGATAGTACGGGTGCCGCCGTCTTTTTTCTCTTTCACCCTCGTTCCTAAATGCCTACAAACAGCAGTGCACGCCCGTAGTAACGGAGATGAAGTCAAGGGGTGCGTTCGTTAACAGCGGTCGCTCCGTGTCTCCGCTACTACAGGAATGCGCTGTTGTTTGTAGACATTTAGGAACGAAGGCGAAAGAAAGAAAGATGGTGGCACCCGTACTATCGATAGTATCGTTAAAGAATCTATAATTTTTAAAATATGCGTTTTTAGAGACAAAAGAAGGATATCAATTGTAAAATTTAACCATAAAATGAATTATTTTGCCGATAGAGCATTCAAAGTAGCCACGAATAAAATTAGAATGCCAGCTATCACTCGAAAAAATTTGAGGAGACACAGAACCACGTGCACTAACTCGCGCTTTCACAACTTCTAAATTTTCATTCATAAAACCATATAATGGACCCTAAAACGAAACTGTTTGAGCCATGGAGGACGCCATGTTGCTTTCCACCGTAAACTACTACTACAAGCGGCCGTTTTTGCCGTCCTACAGAGCGCACTCCGGAATATAGGAACGCGGTCCGCAGGAATTTTTAAACGGACGCTGCTCGCGCGAAGTTACGTGGAGAAATAAAAGAACGCACCCAAGGCAAGTCGTGACCCAATGCGCTGCATGTAGTCGTATGCTTAGGTACTCGCTATCACTCAGATCTCAGCATCCGCGTGATGGCGAGCTCCCACACCCCCTAAAACTGTATAACATCCAGTACTCATGATCAATCAATTGAGCTACTCAAAGCCGGAAGATTCCTTGGACTAAACATTTAAACTCGGTCTTAGCGGAGCGCGATTCCCGGCCACGCCTAGAAGTAGGTTGATTTCAGGGAACTATATCTCGCGAAGGATCACATATAGAGGTGTGGTTTCTTTGACTTTAACAAGGCATAGTCTACAGCCCTGTAATTCACATATGAAATTGTGCCATCTACATGGGCGTAGCGAGGGGCACGGGGAAGCAACGCCCCCCCCAAAAAAACCGGGGCCCCCCCAGAAGATCAGAGCCGAAAAAGTGTAAAGCTAAAAATTTTGAATACTAAAAAAATAAAAATAAAGGGTCAACGGCTCACTCAGTGCCCAATGTTGTAATTAAAGAAAGTTTCATATTTCATGTATGTTAAGTTATCGTCGATTATCATGGAATTTTCATTTTAATGAACAATAATTTGAAATAATTCAATTTTGTGTCAGGTTGGCCTCTACTAGGCCCCCCATAACAAAACACTGCTACGCCCATGGCCATCTAAACAACTATTTTCGTTGTATCTATTCATCCGACAAATTCGAAATCATTACCTGGCAAAAAACGATTCATGATTATAGAAAAAACCATTAAAATATTAGAGATTTCAATGAAGAGTTAATAATACTAAGACAATACCCTAACACAAGTTATTATTAAAGTCAATCTTATAATATGACACTTACCAACAAAATTTGTCAAACAAAAGCTTGTATCCAACTACAACATTCAAATAAGACGGGCATTAGAGCAATGTTGCCAGCCTAACAAAATGACCGTATTTTGAAAAACAATGCCCAGAGACAGATGACATTGAGAAATTTGGGGCCGTATTCTGGTCACTCGTCTCTCACAAGCCGGTCGCTGATTGGCTAATCATTTGGATTAGCCAATCAGCGACCGGCTAGTGAGAGACCAGAGACGGTGACCAGAATATGGCCCCAGATTTATTGGTTAGTTTCTTTGTCAGCGCGAATATAATTTTCTTGACATTTTATTTTTATTTATCTCAAATTATGGAACAGATAATGAAATCATTAGTGAATTAATCAGAGGAGTAAATTTAAACAATGTTATAAAATTTAAAAAAAAACCAAAAAATGTGTTGTAACACCAAATGTAAATGTTTAGATATACAGTAGACAGAACGACTCAAAAGCTAGTTAACCGACTGGTTCAATTCGGTTTGAAGGAATGAAGCAGAATCCTGACAGAATTATGTTCAATAAGCTACTTATAGTTGTTGTCAGGATTCTGCTCTTACTAAAATAATCTCCATTTGCAACTACGGCTAATATAAACAAGGAAAATGAATGACATTATCTTTCTCCCAGATATCTATTTATTGAATTTTTTGTTTTGCTAATACTCATTAAAACTCCCAGTTCAATATCTTTTAAGAACTAAAATTGAATGTTCTCAGCCGAAGATTCCGATATTTATACCGTAATTTAATGATTTTAAAATTACTATATTACTTCATTTAAAAACACTATTTATATATCGTCAGGATTTCGAATTGTATTGGATTTTCCCTCAAAGCTTAAAGGTTTAATTTTGTCCAACAGAGAGGTCCTGACGCATGACACTCGTGACGATCGATCAGCGAGGATAAAGAATGGAAAACGAAACTCCTAACACTACAATCACACTAGGAAAGTTAAACTCATTCAGAAATAACCGTTAAAGTTAAATAAATTTAACCGTGCTATTAAGAATAATAGTGGTAAACTGTGCTAACTGAAAACAACAGGAAATTTATCAGTGCAATTTCATCTAACACCACAGTTTAAAATAGCAAAGAAAAACCTTTTGATAATTGAAAAGTAAAATAGTTTTGGATACTATAAATTTTAATGTACAGTGCTTGCAGCCATTAAACAAGAGTACTTAACACATTGCACACATACTCAAAGCAAATAGGAAAAATCTGCATGGTATGTTACATTAAATAATAAACAAATTTATAATATGTAATGAAAATATATATTTTATCCTGTAATCCTTCAATGAAATATTCAAAAAATAATATAGTATAAAAAAAGATATACTAGAGATATAAAATCATTGTAATATACAACTTGCAGAACTGGTAGAGGAGATAAATATATACAAATGATTATGTTTGTGTATACACATCACGTGGTAGCCAGTTTCAGACTGTAAACACCAGCATCCAGCTCAAGCCATAAATGCTATCAGCAATGGTTTGCGGCAGCCAAACTTTTGAAAAAGTGTAGAAAATGCATCAGAGACAACAGCAAGCTGAATATTACCAGGTTAATGGCTGGGAAACAAGACCATATCCTGAAGCTGTGTGACCTCGGTTTGTCGATGCATGCAGTTGCCATACGTGTTGGACAAGATGTGAGTACCATCCTGCGAATTGTGACATAATGGATGCAGGAACATCTGTGAACACGCTGAAGAGGGAGTGGATTTCACTGGTGTATAACAGAACACCGAGACCAACAGATTCACCAAACATCCCATCAGGACCTGTTTGCCATTGCAAGTAGCATCTGAAGTTGCATGTCACCATCAATGAGTGCATGTGTCCACCCAAACCATTCACAACAGGTTGCATGAAGTTGGGCTGCATGCAGGGCAGCCAGTAATTGGGTGCCATT